CAGCTGTCTATTCAATTATTATGTAGCTGAGTAAATATTTTAATTGTATTACATGTAAAATTCTGGGACTCCTGAGTTGAATGGGACCTCTTCAAGTAGTTTTTTTTTTTTTTTAAGGTTTACTCAGTTATTTGAAAGTCAGAGAGAGAGAGAGAGAGAGAGAAAGATCTTCCATCTGCTGGTACACTCCCCCAGATGGCTACAATGGCTGGGACTGAACCAGGCTGAAGCCAGGAGCTTTTTCTGGGTCTCTCATATGGGTGCAGTGCCCAAGCAATTGGGTCGTCCTCCGCTGCTTTACCAGATGCAATAGCAGGGAGTTGGATTGGAAACAAAGCAGCAAGGACTTGAACTGGCCCTCATGTGGGATGCCAGCACTGAAAATAGCTGCTTAACCTGCTGCACCACAGCACCAGCCCCCAAGTAGTTCTGACTCTAGTACAAAGATTCAAAACCAAGGGATGGGAAGGATTTGTCTTTCAAAGGAGTATTTGGCAAATGCCTTGATACGTTAGTGGCTGTCACAGTTTGGGAGGGCAGTCCTACTGGCATCTGGTGGTCAGAGGCCAAAGCTGTTGCTAAACATACCACAATGTACAAAACAGTCCCCCAGGTGTTAATAGTGCTGAGGTCCAGAAACCTGCTCTAACAAAAGTAGCACGCATGAAATAAATGACTACATTATGGTGGGATATGTGACAAAATATATGTAAGTACAGGGTATCCAAGCAGGTATGTGGTAGGATAAGCTGGAGGCAGTTGGGGTGTGTGTGTGTGTATACCCAGTAGACACTGGGGAAGGCTTCATAGCAAAGTGACTTCTAATCATGGTTTTGACTTGAAGCCTTTACAACCAACCATCCAAGAATGACTTTTACTGCAAGCTCATGAATCAAGAAATACATATTGGGATTTTTCTCACATGACCCTCTGGGCTATTTAATCAAATATTCCTGGTGATTTTATATCTTCTCTGTCAAAAAAAAAAAATTCCCCAAAGAGCCTGGGAGAAGCATGAAGATGGAAGAATTCATTCTACCTTGTTCCTCCTCAGCAAAGATTCACTGGTCACCTGTGTGTGTGATTCTTCTACCTGGACTCTTTCCTTCCCAGCTCAGCTTCCTGCCCCTTTGCTCATGAAGGCTTTCTTTGGAGACTGGAGTCTGCAGGCATTCATCCATTGTCTGAACCCTTAGAGCTTCGTTGCCTGTCTATACCCATGCCAATCTGGGGTGTGTTTCCATCTAGCTTATGGGCTCCTCAAGGACAGGCACCACGCCCTTCACAAGAGCATTCCTCCACAGCACTGAACACCACTGTCCCAACCCTGATTTCCCATGGAAGCAAAAGAGGAAGACATGCAGGCAAGATGTCAGCGATGACTCTCTGTCTTCCTGTGACACTGCACTGGTGGACACACACGTTTCACCCTTCCAGAGTCTCTGGATTTTATCGTATAATAAAACCCAAAAGTTTAATTTCTGTTCAGTAGGCACAACATGCAAAAAATAAATTGCTGTAATTATTATTAGCTTTTTCTTACTAACAGATTTTTCAGAAGCTGTTTCCATATCAAGCAGATCAACCTTTCTGTTGTCATAGAGACAAAGATCTTTATATAACCATGGACAAGGTGAGAGCTTTTTTCCCCTCTCCCTCCTTCCAGTTGCCTGGAATTAATAAGAAAGGGAAAAAATTTTTTAAATTATTTTTTCTTATGATTTACCCCTCCAATTAAAACTAGTGAAAACATGGGAAGCTATTTTTTGTGTCATAGTTTAGATTTTCAATACCTATGTTTTTAATAAAATATAGAAGAAGAGGACAGATATGAACAGTTTGAGGCCATTTTCAAAATTTGCAAGCAGTGGGCTTGCTAATGAAAAGCAGTTATAATCCAGGTACTCTTCCCCTTCATCTTTTAAAACCAAATAATAACTTTAGACAGAGGTCTTAGAAGGCAGAGTTACCGCGGTTTGAAATGACTAAAGAACAATGAGCATTTATCAGGTGTCTGCTGGTGGGTTTGAAGGCATTCTGCAGTAGTTGCTTCCCTCAGTCCTCAGAACCTGTAGCGTTCCCCTTGTCCCTTCGGAGTCCAGTCCCTGGTAAGCAAATACATGACCACAGCCCTCGTCTGCTGGGAGCCTTAGCTGATCATTTCGCTCTCTTTTTCCTATGTACTCCTGATAACTTGTTATCCAGGGCATTTCTCTGTCTTGTAATTATCACTTACTGTTCATTCATTCACCCTCAAAAAAGAAGACTTCAGCATGGGCTCAGCTACTTTCCCTGTCCTTTGCCTCAATACTAAGCTATTGCTTTACCTGTCCAAGTCTGGCAAATATCCCCACTCTTTCTGTCCCTTCCCCCTGGTCTTAGAATGATGCTCTCCTCCTACTCTCGTATCTTCAGTCTGTCCTTCTCTTTCCTCAAGCCTGCTTATTTGATATCTGTCTTCAAGTTTGGGGTGGCAATTTTATTGCCTTTTTGCAATAAGCAGATGTTGTGTTCTCGTGAGGTGTATGAGGAAGAGAACTGTGTAGCCTAGGGAAGCCTACTCCTTGCTTGTCGAGATTCCGCCTGTGTGGCGAGCAGTACCTTGGTTCTCAGACTTGAGCAGCAGGCATGGGAACTGCCTGTGGCACGTTGTCACTCTGTAGACTACCCGACCTGCCTGGAGTTTCTGAGTCAGTAGATGGGGCTGGGCCTGAATGTGCTTGTCTGTTTCCCAGGTGATGCTCCTGCCGCTGGTGAGGGATCACAGTGAGGAGCATAGCCTTAAAGCACCATCCCTCTGATCGCCTCATACATCTCTCTTGTCGTATGGTTGCTGGCATCCCTGTGTTGTGCCGAAGGGGTTGCCTTGTTTTGGCCTACATAGCCTCTGCCTTCATAGGCGTCTCCCATGAAGGTCAAGATCATCTCTCCATCATTGGTCCTCAGGAGTTTGTGAAGCTCACCACCCTTGGCTCAGGAGCCTAACTGTCTAGGAGATGGTCGGGGCTAAGACAGGGCCTGTGTGTCACATCTTAGATTTTAAATACCTATGCTTTTAATGACATATAGAAGAGAAGGAAAGATATAAACATTTTTGAATGATGTCACTTTCAAAATTTGCAGCAGTGGGCTTGTTAGCGATATGTAGTTGTAATCCATGTACCTTCTCCCTCACTTCTTTTAAAACCAAATAGTGAAATAAACTAACATTTACTAAGGGAGGGAGGGAGGAAGGGAGAGAAGGACTCTCTGGAATCCCTCCTGGATGGTACAGGGGCTTCAGAGCCTGGAGAATTAGTTCTTTCTGAGAACCAGACTTGCCAGCCTGGGTGCTGCTGCACTTAGGCTGTGCCCCTCTCCCACCTCCACGCCAAACCCAGCCACCCTAGAAAGATCTTTGAGGAGCTCCAGACTTCTCTCAACCATGCTCTGGGGGCAGGACAAGAAAACATTTCATTTGGCTTTTTCCCTTTAGCCTTCTGCAGAGGGAAATTCTCTTACAAAGACAAGCACATAAAAAAAGATAAGTAACAGATAAAGTCCCATCTTTGCTATCCAACAACTGTGGGACCTTGAGCAAGTTATCCCATCTCTTTGAGTTTAAGTCCTTCTAATCTGGATGATAAATGCCAGATGCCCGTCATTCAGAAGAGCAAGTGGGAGGCTAGCCAGGGAGGGACAAGGGCTGGGGCTGGCAAGGCAGCTTCCATGGGTTTGCTGATTGATTGAAACAAGTTCTATCAGCATGGTCATTGCCTTCAGGGAATGGAGTTGACTAGGTAATTAATCAAGGCTAATTAATATAAACCCTTCAACCCTTAAACTGTATCTCTCAATCACAAATATTCCCAGAGGCCATTAACTCTTCCACAAGGAGGGGCTCAGTTCTGCTGGAAGGCGAGTCCATTCTGGTCCCAGACAGATGGCTGGGGCGCAAAGGAGACTGGGCAGTGAGTCCTTCCCAGCATCGAATTCCATCATCTCTAATGAGGGGTTCCCCCTTTCCTGCCATCCCCTCTCTCTTTTACCAGCTTTACTTAGGTGCAAATAATGTAACAAAATTCACCCAAGTGTGAGAGGAGAAATTTTGTGGAAAATGCGTATGATAAGAAAAATGCTGCATGGATTTCAAAGTTTTTTTGCACCAAAAGAAATTCAATTTTTAATTACTTTTTCCATGAACTTTTTGGGGGAGCCTCACACAGCGCTCTGATTTTTACCAAGTCCACGTACAACCATCACCACAGTCTAATTTTTGAAAATTTTCATGACTGGCCAAACCCACACCCATGAGTAGTCCTCCCGCCCACCTACCCCCCCCTATACCCCTGTCAACTACTTACCTATTCCTAGTCCATCTGGGCGTTTTCTAGAAATGGGCTAATCTAATATGTGGAACTCATATTTAAAGAAAGGGAGCCGACCAGGCTCGGCCGTGACGCCCAGGACCAAAGGCTCCTCTCTCTACCCCGTCCTTCCGGGCACAGAGTTCTCTACCTGCTCACAGATACAGAGGCAGCACACAGGCCTTCCACTGCTCAGATTGAAGAGCAAGGACGCGTGGGCGGGGGTGGAGCAGGGGCTCGCAGGTTCAAAGGATGCAGGGGGCACAGCCCCATTGACGGACCAAGTAACTCGGACCGTGGGTCATGGGCACTTCGTTCCCAGCCGGCCCAGAGTGCCAAAGGCCACCGTAACCTAAGCCAACCTGCATAAGACGTCTCCGGGACCGGCTGCTGCCGACAGAGGAGCATCACGCCCAGGTTCCACGCCCACTGTTGCGAACCCATTTAGGGACAGAGAGCCGGTCTGGGGCTGCTAGGGGCGCCGGAGGGCAAAGATTAGGTTCTCACAACCCTCGAAGGTGGGGAAGTTTGATGGGACCAAGTCTCTCGATAACCTTCCAGACGGAGGGGACCAAACGAGGAGGGAAGAAGGTGGCCCAGGGCGAGTGAGGGTCGCGCGTGGAGGGGGCCGCGGCGGGAGCAGGGCGTACTCACAGTCGAGTGAGGCCGGGCCCGGGGCCGCGGCAGCGCAGGGCGCCGTCGGGCGCGCAGGTGCAGGGCTCGGGGCAGCGCGCCCCGTACAGCACTCGGGGCAAAGGCTGCAGCAGCAGCAGCGCCAGCAGCAACCGGAGCGCCAGGAGCCGCGGCCCCATGGCCGGCGAGCCTGAGCGGGCTCCTGGGACTGGGCCAGTGTCCTGGATGGCCCCTGAAGTGCGGCCGCATCCTCTGCCCGCCCCTCGGTCCGCCCCTGCCCTCCCCTTTTTCCGCGCCCCCCCGGCGGAGCCTCTGCTTTCCTGGCCCCGGGAGAGTGGCCAGAGACCCCACCACTGCTTTTCTACTGCTTTGCGCTGGCCTGTCCTCTATGTCTGCAGATGGCCCTACTCCTAGCAGGGGGAGTGGTGGCGCGGCGGGCTAGTGCTTTGGATTGGAGGCAGGAGGTTCTGAACTCTCCTGCTGGGCTGCAACCCTGAGCCAGAACTTGGGTGAGTCGCGGCACCTGCCGGATCGCTCTTACTTCATCTGTGAGACCGTCAGGTGGTCAGGTGGATACCTGCCATACCCTTGGCAGAAGGGATCCAAAGTGCCCAGCTCAGAGCTTCTCTCCTTCGTCCTCAACCCCGAATCCTTGCCCTTCTGCTCCCATCAAGTCCCTCCACGCTACAGGAAATCTCCTCCCAACTTCCCCATCATTTCAAGTCCTTCTGCGATCAGTGACTATTTCCTCCTTCTAATACAGCTATCTGCTTCTATCTTCTATAGGTCGTGAGATCTAATTCAGATTTAATTTTGTATTCCTCGGGCTTCTGCATGGTTAAGTCCTCAGTAAAGATTTGTTGGATAAGTGAATGAAACTGCTACCCTGTTAACAGCAAGTTCTCCAGCTGCAGGTCCGGTGTGACAGGTGCTCTGCCCTGCATCATGTCTAAGCCTTGCATTAGATTAGCAAGGCTTTACAGGAGGAAACAATGATGTCCTGAGAGCCGTGTCACACAGCTAAAGGTAATCGGAATCCTGTTTGAACTCACGTCTATCATCTTCTCTCTCACCAATGCAACACACACACACACACACACACACACACACACACAAACCTACTGTATGAGCTACATACCAAGGGTCTTAGAAGAGAGATATTCTATAGTCGCTCTAAGAGATGCATAATTCTCCTCTGTAATGTGATTATAAAAATGCTGTTCTTTGAATTCTGGAAACCCTAGCAGTCTTTACTGCAAGAGGTGGGCTTTGAGAGCTCAAAATACGTGTCAAGCTCTTAACACAGGAAGCAGAAGAATGAATTTCTTTGTTTCTGAAGCCAACACTCAAAGGCAGGCTCCCTCAGCCAGTATTGAGTCCCAAGAAGGTAGATTATTATAATTTTAAAACAACTGTTTGACTTTGCTCAGATTTTGTTAAATGGCACAAAGCCAATACTTCTGTCTAAAATATGAGCTTTTCTTTTTCTTTTCTTTTTTTATTTTTTATACTTGACAGGCAGAGTTAGACAGTGAGAGAGAGAGACAAAGAGAAAGGTCTTCCTTCCGTTGGTTCACTACCCAAATGGCTGCTACGGCCGGCACTGCGCTGATCTGAAGCCAGGAGCCAGGTGCTTTCTCCTGGTCTCCCATGCAGGTGCAGGGGCCCAAACACCTGGGCCATCCTCCACTGCTCTCCCGGGCCACAGCAGAGAGCTAGTCTGGAAGAGGAGCAACTGGAACTAGAACCCGGTGCCCATATGGGATGCCAGCGCCGCGGGTGGAGGATTAACCCAGTGAGCCACGGCACTGGCCCAAAATATGAGCTTTTCGAGATCCCTCTCTCCAGGTGCTTGTAGACTCCTTGTAAGTTTCATATCTTGGAATGAGTTTCTTGTCTTCTTCCACTACTCCATTAGGTAAACTCCTGGCTGTGCATCAAGACCCAGCCCGATTGACTCAACCTAGTGGAGTGGTTGTGGCCCTAGCACCTGACTGTATACATAGCTATGGGTACTTTAGATTCCCTCTGTCTATTCTTCTTAGTATTGCCAGTGCATGTCATAGAATGATATAATGAAACCTGGGCTCAAATCCATAGCAGATGTTCAGTAAGCATCTGAAGCTAGTTTAATGAACTGACTCTCAACTACACTGGACCTATCTGAATAAGTATCAAGTAACTTGGTAACTACTTTGGGATTATGTGTTCCCTCCCCTTTTCACTTTGTCAGATTTTGATGGTGAAGTTGGGGGGCACCAGGCTTTTCAAAAAGTTTCTACCCTGCAGTCTGAACTGGAGAAGGGAACAAATGAGTAATTTGATGTGACTGAAGGGCATTTATTTTAAATCTTATGTTTTGTGTGGCATTTTCTTTCGACTTCATAGCGTAGATGTTATATAAAAGGAATAGGTGCTCCCACTGATCTCTGGGTCTTTTACAACAGTGGATATTCCAGGAAGAATCATTTAATTCTCCACTTCTCCTCCAGGGGAAGGCTGGGCAGTCAGGACACTTGGGTTTCCTTCTGGTTCTGTCATCAACCACGTGACTTGGTCTCTGCAATCCTCGTCTACCAGGGCAGAGGTTGGCATTCACAATCCCTAAATATGTAAACACTTTTTGAGCAGCTGCTCTCATCTTGCTGGGGAGAGGAATCAGGTTGTACATGTGAACTCCTTATGATGTGTCTTGGATTGGAAGTGATATTCTGGTTATGAAGAAGTATGGTTGTTCCCTGGGGAGAAAATTCACCATTATAATGAGTTTTCATAACATTTTACTATCTATGATTAATTTCCATTGAATCTTTGTCTTTTATTATTTATTTATTTATTTATTTATTGACAGGCAGAGTGGACAGTGAGAGAGAGAGACAGAGAGAAAGGTCTTCCTTTTTGCCGTTGGTTCACTCTCCAATGGCCGCCACGGCTGGCGCGCTGCGGCCAGCGCACCGCGCTGATCCGAAGGCAGGAGCCAGGTGCTTCTCCTGGTCTCCCATGGGGTGCAGGGCCCAAGGACTTGGGCCATCCTCCACTGCCTTCCCGGTCCACAGCAGAGAGCTGGCCTGGAAGAGGGGCAACCGGGACAGAATCCGGCGCCCCAACCGGGACTAGAACCCGGTGTGCCGGCGCTGCTACGTGGAAGATTACCCTACTGAGCTGCGGCGCCGGCCTGATTATTTATTTTTATTTTATTTGTAAGTCAGAGTTACAGAGAGGCAGAGGCAGAGGCAGAGAGACAGAGAGAGAGGTCTTCCACCCACAGGTTCACTCCCCAAAGGGCTGCGTCAACTGGAGCTGAGCCGGTCTGAAGCCAGGAGCTGGGAACTTCCTCTGGGTCTTCCATGTGGGTGCAGGGGCCCAAGGACTTGCTTGGGCCATTTTCTATTGCTTTCCCAGACCATAACAGAGAGCTGGATTGGGAGCAGAGCAGCCGGAACTCGAACTGGCACCCATATGGGATGCTGGCACTGCAGGTAGCAGCTTTGCCCACTATGCCACAGTGCCGACCCCTCAATTGAATCTTAATTATCAACAATAAGTCCTTGTCATATACTCTTAATAAGAAAATTGCATTGAATTGCTTGTTATTATCATAGAGATTTGTTAGAATGGAATTTACCTGTCCTGCTTATTAATATGCGACCTATTTAAGAGTATTTTTAAATCTGAAGGATTTCTGTTTCATCTAACTGTCACCGAACTTCAAAACCAAGCTCCACACAACAGGATTGCTAACTACACTATACAGACAAAATAAGGCTCACGGAACTCACCGGAAGTTTATTTTGTCTTAGAACTATAAGAGTATCTGACATTACAACTCAGAAATTCCAATAAAACTCTCCAGTGTTTTACAGTAGAGCTTCTCATAGTTTAGAGTACAGAAGTATCATTGGTGGAGCTTTGTAAACAGATTCCTGGGACTTCCCCAAGAGAATCTGATACAACAGTCATGGAATGAGGCCCTGGATCTATATTTCAACAGGCTCACCTGTGTGGCTTTGATGCATGGGGCTCCCAAAGCACAATTTGAAAAACACAAAATGGCGATTCTGGAATTATATTTGCCTTAGGAAGACAAAGCTCAAGAATCTTTATTAAGGACTTTGCATGAAGCCTAACAATTTTGATGCATTATTAAGGAAACCTGTTGTGGTTAAGTGTATGCATACAAATGGTATTGTGTGTGTGTTTAATGTCTAAAATTAATTAGTTGGTTCTTTTGATGAGTTTTTCCTTTTAAGTAGCAATCGGTTTACTTATTTTAATCTAATTTACTAATTTTTAGAATAAGAAATGTCATGAGATCATGGAATCTATTTTATGTCTCACTAGGTCAAAACTCAATAGTACTTGATGTCACACTGGGATGTTGGAATTGGAGAATGTTAGCAAAGTAGTTTAAAAAAACCCTCAAGTAGAATAGGCAAAATTTTCTGATCCTTGAACATATACTTTGTTAGTACTGTAACTGATAGTTCTTTCTTAAAAGCAGTGGTTTTACCTTTCCCTTGGAAGAGAAGGTGAATATAGGTCAGAGGAAGAAAAAAATTTTAAGAAAAGAAAGAAAAATACAGTTATGCCTCTGAATTGTTCACTTTGCTGCCTGGAACAAAAAACAAAACAAAGCAAAACAAAACAAAACAAGGACAACAAAAAGGATAACCCCTGAAAGTTATGCTCTGAAATGCATGCAGCTTCTCCATTGCTTGCTTGGAAATCTCATCTTTTTCTCACTGTTTATGAGCAGGAAACCACAGATCAGCTGTGCCACCTTGAATGCTGCCCTGGGGTTCTTGTGGACAGGAAGAGGAACTTGAAACTACAGTCTGATGGGCACTTGGGCCCTGATTCAAGGGATGGGTCAGGGGTTAGAATGTGATGAGTAGTCTGGAACATGAGAATCCTTTCCTGAACTGATGGAGAGAGAGAGAGATAGAGGGAGAGAGAGATAGAGAGAGAGAGGGAAAGAGGGAGACAGGGAGATAGGGAGAGAGAGAGAGAGAACACTATAGAATGGACCTCACTATTTTAATCATGAATTATGTGAATAAACTGGGGTCTGTTTTCCTTGTCTAATGACAAAAGCCTGTCTACACTGGCAGGGACCAAAGCTATGCTGAGAAAAACAGATGAGAAACAAGTGAGGGCAAGCAGAGTCTTGATAGTGACTTTTGACTGTACAGAAGTGAATGTGCTTAAGGTCAGTCCTACCTTTAGACTTCCTGTATAATGAGTCAATACAGTCTCTCTTTTGTTTGAACTAGTTATGGTTGAATCCCTCTTACTTGCAACAAAAATTCCGTTGTGTTCATTTGACTTGCCCGCATCTCTCATCCCTTTCCAGCTAGGAGAGGACTAGGGCTTTAATATTCTTACCTATCCCAGACTCATCATATACACAGTAGATTTTTCCTTGTTGCTTGGGCAACATTTATCACTGTTCTGCTGGGAATCACTGAATGAACTAAGACAGGTTGAGGGAGTGAGTGGATGAATGAATGAATGAGTGCACCAAGAGGTAGTCTGTAGAACCATGTTATGCCTCTGTATAGGAAAGAGGCATTTTACTAAATAATTTGCCAAGTATTCTTTTCATTTTAAGGAATATTTTCAGTAAACTGCAACCTTGGTTTAGAAATTAACTTTCAAGCTAAAATATTAGATGGAACCAAGTCAAATAAAAAGAAAAGCTTCTAAAAGAAAGCTATAAATCAACAGGGAAACAATTTTATTTTTAAAAAACTGATGTACTCATCAAAGTGTGAACCACAGGATACTGGTTCCCTGCCATGCTAATTGGTTGTGTTCAGGGAAAAGGTGTCAAAGCTCAAGAAGCTTTGGGGGAAATTGAGTTACAAAAGTGACAGAAGGCTCACTGGAGGACGTTTCTCAGAACTTTTCATACACATTCGGGATCTCCAAAAGAGCCATAGTGTATGCAGTGGGCTGGTTTTATTTTATTTTTTTAAGTTTTTGAAAGTACAAACTTAAGAAACAGATTGGTTTACAAATTTTCA